GGTTAATTCTGTCAGAAGTCATTAATCTACGCGGACGAAGTCGCGGGCAACAGCTAGTTTGTTATATAATTGTTAATATTGATTGTAAAAATCGCTGCCGTCAGTGAGTTTACTGCCAAGATGTGTGTGTGCGCTGCGGGTCTGCGGGCGTAGAGCAAGCCGTCCGACCAGAAACAGACCCGAGCGTACGGCGCGTCGCGTTCCGCGCGCGCCTCAAAGAGCCATCAGACCACCACAGATGGGGCCCAATAGGGTTGATGCCCGATACGGAGCCCCGGAAGGCCTAACTGGTAACCGGGGCTCCGGCTCGAAGAGCAGGAGTAGGATCCGGGTGGTTTTTAGTCAGTAAGAGTCTGACACTCCCTCTCGCCTAACCCAAGGCGGGAGAAGCCATTGAATGATTTTCCACCCTCAAAAAAAAACGATGTGTGAGTGTCGAGAGGCCACTTAATTAACTAAGGGTCGATTTTTCAATCGTCAGTTAATTCCGAACTGAGGAACAACTTTATAAATTAATATTTGACAGTTCTTCCATACTAAAAACTGTCGACTGTCAATTTTATTCTACAGTTAAAAATTAACTGATGATTGTGAAATTGACCCTAAAAATCGCGGGTTACTCATGTGAATATACTGAGAAAAGCTCTACTAGTTTGGAACCACAGAAGGGCGCAATCCATTGGCACTGCTCGACATTGCCGCGACCGCGCACGCTGCTCATGATGACGAGCCCCTCTATAGTAAAAGTAGTCCTTCTGTAGTCAGTTTAACTGCTGTCGATTGTATAAGAAATGGCAAAGAAGAAATGTAAGAATTTGAAATGTCTCTTGGAAATTTTGAGAATTGAACATTTTAACCTTGAACGGTGGCAAGTATGGTTGGCCTCAAATCTTATTATTCTCTTCCAGAGGACACCCAACGCGTCCTAAGACTGTCCTTGGACGAGTTTGCCTTACCCAAGTTCTACCAGATGTTTGGCATATCGAAGGTCAAGTCGGCAGCCGTCACCGCCTTCCGCAGCCCTTACAACAGGCATACGAATGATTGGTATGCTCATTTACTGGATTATAAATATATTTGCGGATGTGTAGATTTTTTGTTTTCTCTAAAAATATTTAGTATTAATAATAATTATTTTATAAACTACGTTTAAAAAAAACAACTTCACCCCCTCCTTTTTTGAAGTCAATTAATTAATGTACTAACACCATCCAAATCTAGCAAATACTTAAAAACGTATACATCCTGCGGACGCGGACCGATTTTAATGCGGTCTCGACTTACTGTAACCATCGAGTAACCTCTTTGAAGCCATCTTCTCTGTCTGTATAGAAATAGTCATTAATTTATTATCTGTCCAAAACTGTAAAGTGTAAATTCTGTACATTAACAATATTAAATAAAAATGTTATTCAAAATTTTTTGTCTGTCTGTCTATATGTTCACGCATTACAAAACCTACCAGTCCGATTACCATGACACTTGTTATGATTGTACTGTAATACCCTAAGCACACCGAGTACTTTTTATCCAGAAAAGTATATACACAAAAAACAAATTTAATTGTGCTGCTCAATCCCTAAACACAGTTACTGTACCAAACGCAAATATAAGTTTGTCGGATGATAGAGTGCTCGCAGTGGATTTTGCGTTGTAAATATAGGACCAATGGTTGAAATTAGCTTGAACGGATATTATAAATGTAAAAATATGTGAGTTTATTGTGTGTATGTTTGTAACTCAGTCACATCAAAACGGCTGAAGGGACCGGGATGAAATTTGGAACAAAGGTAGATTATGGTATGCAGTAACACATAGGCTACTTATTACCCCTGGGAACGCGGGCAAAGCCGCTGGTAGAAGCTAGTAACTAATAAAAATAAAATTTCCCTCAGGTACTCCGAGCACTCTTACGCAACATGCTCAGAGTCAACCAGCACGGGTACCTGCGCAGGCGCAACACACACGGACCGCGAACGACTGCCTCTACAATCACTAGAAATCATCACTGATGCTCTATTGGAAATTATGGAGGCTTGCATGCGGGACATACCGGATTGTGATTGGCTGCAGACTTGGTGAGTTTGTGTAATATGCAGAGTGGTCACTAGTTGGTTTCCCGTGGTGCCAATGTTCGACAGAGGAGTTGCGATACGAGCAGTCGGCCCATCACATACTCTGGGAGTGTGATCTCTGGCAATATGAACGTAACACTATGTT